CACTCTCATCTCCCGCACCACAGCAAAAATGAATGTACAATAATTTAGATATTATATAAATATATTAATCGTAATTCATGCACGATAAAATATAAATTGAGCGTCTAAAAAATCGATTCCATTATATTAATTTTTTTAAAAATATATTAATTATAAATTAATCAAATATTAAATAATTAAATATATGATATAAATGTGTGATGTTATATTTTTAGGGAAGAAATATATAAATGATTAAACATATGATAAAAATAAGTGATGCAATTTGACGTTTGAATCTGACAAAGGGATGATGAGTGAGATAAGTGATTGGTGATAATTTTGAGAAAAAAAATATGACTGAAATAAAATTCAAACACACTCCTGTGTTTATTTTATATATATATGTGGGACATTTCCAAATACTCCTAGATGAAGACACGTGTCCTTGGCATCTGTAAATTCTTGTTACTGTAATCACGACACGTTCCCGTCGAATCACAAGTCCCTATTCTCCCGAGGTACTGTTCATGGGGATCAATGACACCCAGTACGTTACGTACCGACACGTATCCCTCGGTCGGATATGGGTTCATCGGTCCCTACATGTACCACTCCCCTCGGTACCGAGATGTACCCGTCCAGGATGATGTTCTCTGCTCCTGCAGAGGCTATTGATGTACAGGTCACTAGCTTAGGCTAGACTAAGTTAGTCATCATGATCTCGTCTTACACAATTGGTGTCAAAAGGCATAAGAAGGCAGAAGACACAGTCAATGGGGAATGGGCGCGTGACATATTGTGTCACATCAGAGACAAAAGGACCGGATGCCCTTGCTGACACACGACTTGGAAAAGCAAGCATTTAATTACACCATTCCCTTGATGAGACAGCATTTAATGCGGTAAGGCTTGGAAGTGAAAGTTAATAAATATCTCTAAGACTGGACATTTATTACATCCTTGCCGAGAGGAGCTCATTAAACATTCGGCAGGCCAATGACACAACATTGGTTGCTCGGGATCCGGAGTAGTTAAAAGAGAAGACATTCCTCATAGGAATCAGTGCGCACGTTGTCCGTATCTAATGATCATCTACTGACCACACTGACAGCAATCATGAGTTTTTGAAGTATAAATACTCCTCACAAAATGCAAGACGATATGAAACAAAAAACCTTTTCTCAAATCTATACTCAGTGTTTTCTTCTTCCCCTCTCTCAAAAACTGACTTGATCGTCGGAGAAGATACGCCGAAAAACACTCCGGCGCCCTTCTAACTTGTCTTTCTCTGTTCCAGGAACCTCCCTCAGCATTACTGGACCACTCATTTGATCCACGAAAGTCACCCATTACCGTTCTAGGCCAGCAACGGATCTCAGCCTGTTCCAAATAGCAAGGTTGATCATTTGATTGACTGATTCGAGTTCACCACGAGAGAGATCTGTTCTCGTATTTATATTGTGCAAGATCCTGCACGCACATATATATATATATATATATATATATAGTAATTTGTTCTATAATTGACAATACAATAACAAGATTCATATTTTTTTGCTAGTCCTCAAAAGAGAGCATATTAGAGTAGATGTTTTTGATATTTAGGACTTGAATATGGTAATATCAAAATTTATTATATTTATGAGTATATTTATGACCGTTGTGCTATCAAAAAAGTGATAAAAATAATAAAAACTTCTACAATAATGATAAAATTACCCACAAAAGTAATAATTTTTTTATACTAAAAAAAAAAAAAAATAGTTATCATAACAGTGATAAAAATACCTATAAAAATTATAAATTTTTTGATTATAAAATGATCTAAAAAAATTATAAAAATACTATTTAAAATAATAAATTTTAAAAGTATGACATCAATTTTTTTTATTGGAACCGTTGTCAAGTCTTGGTATTTATTTGTTGTGACGTGACAAAAACAAAAGCCAAAATGCAAAAATTATTGTGACGTGACATTTATTGTGACGAATTAACGTAGCTAACCCAGGTCCCAGACTGATTGTAGTACTAGTAATAAACATCTACCATGTCTCACAATGCCCAGAAATTGAGATGAGCAGCAATATGCAGGGAGTGGTTGAAATAGAGGCCATTCAATCCACAGGAAGCAATACTGTGCTCCCTCCTCTAATCCAATTATTTTTGAATTCATTGACACATAAACTTATTCGATTACTAAAAGCATCATGTATGACACTTTCCTCTTACTTAATACTCGTTTTCTTTCGATTGTCAATTTTTTTGGTCATAGTGTTTGCGTGCAACATACATTAAATTAATTAGTAATTTTACAACTTTCATTAGGACATAGATAAATCTAAGTTTTGATATAAAAGACAATCCAACGGACTTGGAGTCTATATTAATAATAAACAATGTATGAATAACATTTTCCTCGCTAAACTATAGACTCATTGTACCACTGAAATTAGAGGTTCAAGTTTTGGAGTCTATATTAATTTAGATGATTCACTATTATACTAACCTAAAATTAAAATTCATAATTTAGAAATTATTAGGCACAATTTTATATATACATGCGATTAACGAATAAAATAACTAAAGAGTCTCCTCAATCAAACTTTTCCAACTTTATTAGTTTTTTTTTTTAAGAACATTGCAAATGATTCCAAAAACTTTTTAGAAGTTGACTTTTTCATTATTTTTTTTCGCACCCAAAAAACCAAACACTAAACAAGACCAATATTGAAAATACATTTATGTTTAGTTGAGTTACTAGTATTTCTCATCTTTAGATCAAGTTTACATTAGATCAAGGTACGACTCAAAAAGACCAGTTATAATTAAATGAGATTATTTTTAGACTTATAAAATACTTGAAATCAATCCAAATAACCTTATAAAATACTTTAAAATCTCTTCTTTTAGAGTAGCAATCATAGTTGGTCCCTAAAAATCATATTTCATCCAAATTGTTATTTAATAAGACAAAAATTCTTGGATTACAGTGTCAGCGTCATTTGAAAAATATAATTAAAAATTACTCGATTGTTCCATTCCTAATTGGGTTGTTTGATAACAACACTTAAGACATAAAACTGAATACTTTAAGCACTTGATGAATAAAGCCTGTTTGATAACTTATAATTCATACCACTTAATGTTTTGAAACACTTCCTAAAAATAAGCTAAAAATTTAAGTAGCAAATTATCTACTTATCACTTAATGATGAAAATATTAGTTAGTAAGGATTTTATAAATTCCTTATAATGAACAAATATACTCTCGATGCATTTTATATTTTTAACTTTTCAATCCTCACACTGCACCTCCACAACAACCACCATTGTATCGTCGCCACCACCACCATTGTGGCATCACTACCACCACCATTGTTTTTATTACATTTGGGTAAATGATGTACTTTGCACAATAAAATGTAAGCATGTATCTTAAATATTCATGTTTATTGTAGTCATGAAGAAAAAACAGTCCAAGAGATCCATTACCAGTAAATATACTCATTTTGCACTTGTGATTCATGTGTCATTTCTAATAAATAACCTTCAAAGTTCTTACACTATCATCATATGATAGGAATGTGGAAAAAAAGAGAGGAAAGAATTTGGCATTCCATCACAACTTGCGGAGTAATACTCCATCCAACATTCTTTTTTTGGATCAATGCTTCATCTAACATTAAAACAAATGAAATCCAGGTAAGACATTGTCACGCAAATAAGATTGACGGACATCTTCTATTACATCTATATGCCAAAATAACAAGAATATCTCTTAAGAATTACTAATCCAAAAGATAGGAAGAAAAAAAAATCCAACATATCCCTTAATCAAGCAAATTATGAATCAAGTTTATCTAAATCGAGCAATTTCCCTTAATGGTCCACCAATTCCACAACCTACATCTGACAACTACAAGGACATCACAAGCATTGAACAACAATATGAAACGACAAACCCAGTGAAAAGTTGAGTCAATAATTGATTTTAGGCCTAGTTGTAAAGCAAGAAGTGCTCATACCGCTTAATGCTCTATCGAACAGACTCTCTTTTCCATGTACAGGTGTAAATATAATGCACCTGGTCAGTAACTTACTAGAAGCTATTGTGGAACACCTAACAATGTATGCCCACATATGACTAAAGAAAAATTGAATGACCGTAAAATTAAATTTGAAGAACAAAATCACAAGAATAACTTTAAATAAGACTATAATAACCTGGGCGCAAAAGGGAATGAATCTCTCCGGCCTTATTCACAGAAGCAGGAGAGAATCATGCCCTTTTTGGCTTAATCGCATGTATATGTAAAATTGTGCCTAATAATTTTTAAAATATGAATTTTAATTTTAGATTAATAGAATGGTGAATCACCTAAACTAATATAGACTCTAAAACATGAACCTTTAATTTCGGTGGTACAAAGAGTCTTTGGTGAGAAAAATGTTATTTATACATTGTTTATTAATCTGAGGCACCAGAACAATTAAATTTATAACTAATCCTAAGGAATATTAGGGGTCTAGTAGGAAATCACGTGCGTGGATATTTACATGGGTCTCTGACATTTCATTTAAGTGGCGTAGTCCAGGAAAGGACAACAAATGTCGTCCACAAATTCAGAACCAATTGAACACGAAAGTGAGTGGAAAGGTGTACTTTGACTTGAGGCCTCTAGCAATTTTAACACACAAAACCCATCGTTCCCTCGTCTGCTCAACTAAAAACCATCAGTAGGACTAACGTGTTTTAGAAGGTCTTACTCTAACTAACGTTTTTAGATGGTTGCAAAAAAAATGTCAGTTAGTCTTACTTTTTTATGCTAAAAAAGTTATTCCAACGGCAGCTTTTGATTCAAAAACGTCATTTTAATTGATATTTTTAAAATTATTTGAGTTTGAAAAATATTTTTAAAACAACCCACTTTTAGATATATCTTTTAAAAACCTCATGGATTGAGATAAAAGCTTGAGAACATTTACCTTCACTTAGTCTACTCTACCTATGTCAAACAATGCCAGAAATTGAGTCAAGCAGCAATCAGGGCGCGGTTGGGAAAAGGATCATTCAATCAGGAGGAAACAGTGAAGTGATCCTTCCTGCAACGGTGCCTGAGGTACAGGCTGAAATCAACGGTCCTGATGAGTGGATAATCTCGGTAATGAAAGACGGTGACCGTAAGAGCGAAGCCATTCGATTCGAACAGAGAAAGTTACAGAAGGTTATACAAGAACTAAGAAATAAAAAGGAGCTTGAAGGATGTTTTGATTTAAGAGTTGTTTCGATTGGCCCCTATCACCATGGAAAGCCTGAGCTCGTAGATGCGGAAGAGTTGAACACTATGTTCGCATTCTACTTCATTAAAGAAAGTGGCCTTGATTCCGAAGTGTTCTATAACAAATTCTTAGAGTTGGTTGGGGAAGCTAAGGGCTACTACCTTGATGGCTCAACAGATGACTATGATGATGATGTTCCTTGATGGTTGTTCTATACTGTATTTTATAGACGTTGTAGTAAATGAAAAAACAAAGGGTACACATATGTGGGACATCTTGGGGTCAGGAAGATTATCTATGTTATTCTCGGACTTGATCTTGCTGGAGAACCAACATCCACTCCAAGTTATCCAGGCATTAATGACCATTAGGTACAAAAAAGAAAAAGGAGAAAATATGGTCAACAGTTTTGTCGAAATATGTTATGGTCCTGGAACAACCAGTAAGAGACAGGGACGGCAAGATGAGCAGCCCCTTCACTTCCTAGACTCGTGCGAAGAAAATTTACACCCCACGTGAAGACGGACGATTCAAGGTAATTTGAGGCAAAGTGGTAATATTTTTTTATTTTTAAAATTATTTTTAAAAAATAAAAAATATTTTAAATTTTTTTTAATCGAGAGAGAAGGATGTGATACTTTTTTTTTTTTTAAGAGAGAGGAAGAATAGATGTGAGTAAATATGAGTTGACTTTTGATTTTTTTTGTATTTGTTTTTAAAAAATTTTATTTTTGAATTTCTAATGTTTTGAATTGAATTGTAGACCCAAATTATTGAAATTATAATTTTTTGATTGAGTTTAAACTTTTTAGGGTTTTTTTGTAAGGTCTAAAATTTTCATGAATTTAAATTTTTTATGTGGACTAGTTATGTATTTAAAATTATAAGATTTTTAAAAATTTGGACCTAAAACCTATATATTTTTTTTTAATACTGTTGGGCCTGCCATGCACAGGAAGGATTATGGGAAAGACCAAAATGATCCTAATATGGTCGTTCGTCACTCCTTCGGTTCAGCAACAGAACTTAAAGCAAAAGGAATACATTTCAAGTCTAGCGGTACATTTTGTCTAACAGACATCAGCTTCACTTCGTCCTTTGGCTATGGACAGTTGACACTTCCTCCTATGGTACGTAAGGCGCACTCCAAGTTCCTCTTCTTGAACATGATTGCATATGAAATGGCTCCTAACACAGATACTGACCTTGAGGTTAACAGTTACATTTATTTCCTGAATTTACTCAATAGTGGAGCCGACGACGTTATTGAGCTGCGATCTCATAACATAATTTCTAACTCCCGTGATTCCAATGAGGGAGTTGCAAAATTCTTCAACACTATGACTTCTGCTGTCTCACAAGCCAATTTTTTTATCCTTGATGACGTTTGTAATCGAATTGAAGAGCACTTCACTAGCAAGGCAAAAACTTGGATGGCTCAAGTCCTGCATGATCATTTCAGTTCTCCGTGGACTACTGTGGCTTTTTTAGCCGAAATGTTTCTTTTTATCTTAACCTTCACCCAAACCTACTTCCAAGTTTTCCTCGCTCTACAAACCAAAAGTAAACAGGAGTTTCAGATGAGTCTCATTGCCTCTTCTACATTATTATGTCGAAACAAATAAATAATATGGACATATGGGTGTTTGTTCTATACACCCAACATGCCATGTTTCTCCTTAAATAAATTGTATGTATGTAAAAGGTTTGCGGCTGTGGGATTCTCTTAGATTTTAGGGGCATCCATTCCTGGTCAAATATGTGTGTGTTTTTTACAAGCAATTATGTTGCTATAGTGTGTTGTATTTCGTTTATAGTTTCTGGCTCACATCTTGTAATGAAGATTGAACAAATAATGTGATGTTTATATTAGAAGCAGCTGTTCATGAGTGTACCAGATTTTCTGGGGTGATCTGGATTTATGTACCAATTATGATATTTATCCTTCAATTTTCTAGATCCTTCATCAAATTATAAAAAGATTAACATCGCACTCTAGTTGTTGGATCGTGAGAAACAAATCCTTTGATATCGCGTAGAGGAGAAGCCCAATTTTCCTTGCTCTCTGGTTGTTCAATTTTTGATAATTGAGCTTAAATATTAAAAAGAAAGTAAAACACCTTAAGTAGTGATTGAAGTATGTATCCCATCTCACTTTGATTTTTTAATTTCTAATTATCACTTTAATTCTAAAGAATACAAGTTATTTAGTTCAATCTCTCATTTTCACCCAATTGCAAGAAGAAAGAGAACTATGTGTTGTTTTAGGCTCAAAATCGACTAAAATTCAATTTTTATACTTAAAAAAACTGTTTTGGTCCAGCACATGTTAGTGTCATTATCTTCCTCGTCACCTACGTTATTAAGTCACAAAAGTAAATTCTATGGCTTGTCTGCAGGTGCCACCGCAAGGGATCAATTCTATACTCCCAACATGCTATGCTTCATAGTCATCTACGTTATGAGCCGGGGAACACACAAAGGGATCACATTGCATCTCCTTAAATTAAGTGTATGTATAAATGGTTTTCGACTGCAGTTTTCTTAGATTTTAGGGACATCCCAATGAATCGTGTGTATTTTTTTGAGTGTGGTTTTTTTTACCAGCAATTTTGCCTTTCCCTGATAAAATAGGGATTAAAAGTTTGATATGATAGGTTTATGTATGAAAAAAATAAGTTAAATAAGTTTTTGGGTTAGATTATAAATATCCAAACTAGCAGAAAGAAATTAAAAGGGAGTAAACAGCTACATTGAAATCCTGAATAGACTGATTGTATATTTTGGGGTTGCAAGTGTGATTGTTGTTTAAATCATAGGGGTATTAAAGTGTATTTATGGCATTATTACACCAAAGTCGTCGGTTGGTGGAGAGAAAAAGAAAGGAGTGGACCGTGCTTAATAATTTATGATTACTGTTTAGGTCACTGTGTAGGCACGATTTGCTCGAAAGAAAAATAAAAATAATAGAGGAGGAGCCCACGTATTTTCATTATTTACTCTCACTTTGTATATAACCTCACATATCTAATAATTGTATATGTGATTGTATTGCATCCAAAGTCTGATAACTCTGCTCGTGAATTATTACCGACAAAGTCCGAGCACTTGTAAAAGTACTATATGATATAAGAAACGATTATTCAACAGATTTAAAATATTTCGAATAGTTTTTTTTTTGGGAGGGGATATTTTATTGACTTGATACACACACACTAGGGGTAATCTGTGTCGAAAGACATAGTATGCAATGTGAATGGTTTTTAGAGGGATATTGATAACTATTAGATAAGTCTACTTGAGACTGTCAAATAAATTTATTGAAGTCTATCATATTTTATATTATAACTAGTTATTGTCTGTGTTTGAAGACACAGAGTAACAAAGAATGGTAAACAATAAACATATTTGTATTCATATCCAAAATCAAATCACAAACATAGATGAGAGATAAATGAACTTAAGTATCGGTTGTAGTGGGGTGAGAGGTGGTGGGTGGCAGTGGTGGTGGTAAGAGATGGTGATAGTTGTGGTGGATGACAATGACCGTGGTGGTCGTGGTAGTGGCAACAATGGAGGTGGTGGCGATAACGGTAGCAACGACGGTGGCGATGGTGGTGGTGACGGCGATGGCGGTGGCAGTTGAGGTGGGGGTGGTGACGACAGCGACGACGACGGTAATGGTGGGGGTGGGGGTGGGGGTGGGGGTGGCGGGGGTGGTGACGACGCCGACAGTAGTGGTGGGGGTGGTGGTGGCAAGGGTGGTGCGGCGCCATCGCTGCCAACAGTGGTGGCAGCGATGGTGGCTAGAGCGGTGGCGGCGACTGCGGTGATAGTGGGGGGTGGTGGTAGAGGTAATGGTGGAGCAGTTTCAAACACTATTTTTTTATTAAAGTATTTATGATAAATAATTTTTAGAAATACTTTTAAAAAGTCTCTCCAAACACACCCTTAGAGGTCTATTTTTCCTATTAAATTTAGGGTGTTAATATTAGCCGTTAGATTAACTTTAAAGTAAAATTTAAAACGAACTGAACCGTGAAAAACAAAAGTTATTTTGTTTATTTTTAAAATTTGAATTATAAGCTACTTTATTATATATATATAAACAGGAGTGTGTTTGAATTTTATTCCAGTCATATTTTTCCCCTCAAAACCATCACCAATCACGTACCTCATTCATCATCCATTTATCAAACTCAAATGTTAAATCACATCACTCATTTTTATTACATGTTTAATCATTTATATATTTTTCTCCCTAAAACATCACATCATTCATTTATATCATATATTTAATCATTTATTATTTAATTAATTTGTAATTAATATATTTAAAAACAATTTAAAATAGTGGGATCGATTTTTTTGAGGCTCAAATTTTATATTTTATCGTGCATTCAAGTACGGGTTATGACTAGTATTTATATATTGTTGATCATAAATATATGTATAAGATATAGTAGCTATCTTTTTTTTTTTTGAAAGGAATATAGTAGCTATCTTGAATGGTATCAAGATGATACGATACCTTGATGTTTAATCAAGATAATTATGTGATACTTTGGACTTCATTCACGGTGATGGCATTGTTTTAATTTATTTATTCAATATAAATTATTTATTACGAGGTCTATACTTAGAAAACTTACTATTTGTAAAGTTCATAGAAACTCGAATAATAAATTAAATTATTTAATTTTATGGGTTACTGGTTGGAAAATGTTACATGCAAATTCATCGCAATGGATTGAGTGACAAAACCTATTTTGTTACTGTGAGAGCCACTGTTGAGAATTTTGCACCCTGTTGATTTCTTCATCTGCAATGTAATAGCCATGCAATGCAAGTCTACTAAATTTGGTGGCCTATATTTGTTTGTCAGTGTTATGTTGGAAATAAAGTTAATAAAAATAATAATGAGATTATTTTAAATCAATTCCATTACATTGAGCAATTATTGAAAAAAAATTAAATGTTGTGACTATAAACCAGTAAACACGTCATATGATCCAAATATATACCTAAATTTTTTATTAGGTGAAAGTGTGTCACAACTAAAATATTTTGAAATTATTGGATCATTAATGTATTTAACCAATTACATTAGAGTTGATATAGCTTATGTTGTTAATAGACATTGGAAAGTTATTGAAAGAGTACTCAGTGGTCTTCTTTCTAAGATATCCAACGGTATTAGAAGGATTCTGTGATGCCAGCTAGATTTCTGATTTAGATAAAACTAAAGCAACTAGTGGCTATGTATTTATGTATGGTGGAGGAGTTGTAGCTTGGAGAGCTATCAAGGAAACTATTATATCTCGGTCTACAATGGAGGTTGAATTTATATTATTGGATATGGCTACAGCAGAACCTACATTGCTCAAGTGTCTCCTATCTGATATATCTATTGGTAGTAAACCTATTCTAGCAATTTCTCTATACTATAACAATTTAGCCACTATTGCCAAGTTAGAATTCAAATTACAATGAAAAGAGGAGACATATATGAATTTCTCATAATTCTATTAAACAATTACTCACTAGTAATTGTACTCGACTTTGTGAGGTCTGAAAATGTTTTGGCGACTATCTTACCAAAGGGATAGAGAAGATGTTAGTTCAAGATTCATTGAAGGAAATGATCCCTGTGGACACCTAACCTCTATGATTAGAGATCCCATGAAAGAGGTTCAATAGGTAAAAATGAAGCTAAGTATGACTATGGTGAGCACTAAAATTATATAAATGGGAAATTCCTTGATCCCATTCCCAAGGTGACAGTGCTCTCTAGACTTTGATGATAAAATGAAGAGTAAATCTCCGAATGAGGCAAATGTAGGATTCTACAAGATATTGATCACAGAATACCCATGGATGACTCAACTATATGTATGTTTGTAGTGAGGCCGCTACTAAGGGATACATGCTAATCCCTAATTGAACAAACATAAAAATTAAGATACACGCGTATGGCCATAAGAGCACCAAATTGACCAGAACTTAATCTAATATCAATACCATGTGTTTGAAAAGTAGAAATCTCAGCCAAAGAATCTAGCTCACTATTTTGTTCCCTATGGTTCTTTTAGATGGAAGTTTGTTGAGCTAAGTGAAGGTTCAAGTCTAAAAGACACCTCACCTATTGTATTGTATTGTTGTCTAATTTTTTGATTAAATTTAGTTTAATTTTAAACTATGTGGGGGATTGTTATAATATTTTAAAATTAAAATAAAGTTTTGAAATAATAATTATATCTACCCTCACCTATATGATTATTGATATACTAGTTATTGTCTATGCCTGAAAGTACAGATTAATAAAAAATGGTAAACAATAAATATACTTGTATTCATATCTAAAATCAAATCATAATCATAGAGAAAAGATAAAAGAATTTTAAGCATCGATTTGTAGTGGTGGTGGTAAGAAACAGTGATGGTTTGTGGTGGGTGGCAATGACTGTGGTGGCGATGAGGGCGGCGACAATGGTGGTAGTGGCGGCAGCGGTAGCGATGGTGGTGACGACAGCGACGGTGATGATGGGGGGTGGCGGTCGTGGTGGTGGTGGTGGCGGCGACGACGCGATAACAGTAATGACAGTAGTGGTGGTGGGGGTGAGGCTGGTGTGACGGCGGTGGTGGTGGTGGCGACTTTGGTGATGGTGGCGACAGGGGGTGGCGGTGGTGGTGGGGCGACGACGACGGTGGGGGGGTGGGGCTGGTGGTGACGGCGGCAGTGGTGGTGGTGGTGGTGGCGGCTTTGGTGACGGTGGCGGCGGTGGGTGGCGGTGGTGGTGGTAGGAGTGTAGCGGTTTTAAACACTATTTTTTTAAGTATTTATGATAATTAATTTTTAAAAGTACTTTTAAAAAATCATTCCAAATACACCCTTAAGGTCTATTTTTTTTTATTAAATTTAGGGTGTTAATATTAATCGTTAGATTAACTTTTAAAAAAAAAATTAAGCGATCTTAACCGCAAATAGTAAAAGTCATTTTGTTTATTTTTTGAGATTTGAATTATAAGTTATTTTATTATATAGATATAATAGTAACCATTACATATCATTATTACTCTTTACTGACCATTCAATGTCTATGTGGAAGGTTTTGCAAATATAAGGTGGAGATATCTCCAGCATTTTCTTTGAGGAGGAGATACAACATTTTCAGTATTATTCTCATAATATATTACATTGTTCTGGTTGTATCATTTATATGATTTTTTGGACAACTTGAGTGGAGTTCAGTTCGCTATAGAGAGACTCATGACACATCGTAGCTTTTTTTAAATTGTTGTCTTTTAATAAGAGATTGTATAAAAAATTCTATGCAGAAGAGGGTATATCTCTTTTTAAGATAGCGTCTTCGTGTGCTTCAACCTAAACTTTACTAAACTTATTTTGATATGAATTTCCATTATATTTATTTGATGTATTTAGTTGTTTATTTGATATTGAAATTATTTGATGAAACTCTAAATTAAAAATATAATTCTTGGTAAAAAATTTAATTATATGTGTTAAAATATATGTTATTTATTTATATATCCTTTGGATACGGTGATCTCTTGCTTTAATGATCAACAGTATGTTATAGGGAGAGACAGAAGCCTAATGAGTAACGATGACACAACTCTATTGTCTTGAATACGCATTGTACAATAATATTCATATTGAATTCATAAAATTTTAGACATACAGCACAATAAAAGGCTAAAGCTGGTATGGAGCGATGCCATATGAAACACGTTCTCCTGTCATTTTAACTTCAGATTCCTGGTCAATAAACAAAAGAAAAGAAAAAAACTTCATAGTCACGCTTTACTTTGAAGTTCACTCTTTCTTTATGCAATTTGACTAAAGAAGCCTTATCATTTGCTTTTAGCGTAGTGCTCAGCACATGGATCAAAAAAGCTTTGTGCAAGTTGCAATTTTTAAGAGAAAATAGGACACAATTTTGTACAAATACATCAATCATCAAGCAACGGCTAGGTTTAAAATGATTTTTTGAGCATGAATCACAAAAAGTTGTGCCCATAAAGATGCCTTTACTTTATAATATTGTATCCAATGATTAAAAAATTAATATCACTCATGGATCCAATGCCCCAAATTTTTCACTTATTTTCGGGAAAAACTCGGAAGCAACACCAAATTTGTGGTGGCATTTGAGAATTATAGAGGAAGAGGAATCAAAAGTTTTGTAATCTCATCGAAACTGTTCAAAAACATTTTCCCTACACAAGGGGATCGTTCTCTTCAAGTCCTCTCACAACTCTACCCGCTTTTAGTCGCCAGAAATCGAGATGAGCAGCAATTCAGGAGTAGTTGAAATAGAGGCCATTCAGTCCATAGGAAGTAGTAATGTGCTCCTTCCTCCAATGGAAGCAGACGTACCGGCTCAAATCAAAGATGCTGAATGGTTAATCTCAGTTCTAGAAGACGGCAAACGCGACTACAGATTCATTCTATCTGATAAGAAATATATGCAGAAGGTTATACCAGAACTAAGGAATAACAAGGAGAATGAGGGATTTTATGATCCGAAAGTTGTTTCAATTGGTCCCTATCACCATGGCAAGCCTGAGCTTCAAGAAGCGGAGAAGTTGAAGGCTGCAGTGGCATTCCAGTTCATCAACCACAGCGGCAAGGATCCCCAAGAGTTCTATAAAAAAATCGTGGATTTGGTTGTGACAATTAGGGACTACTACCTTCCGGGCTCCACAGACGCCTACGATGATGTGACATTTGCGCATATGATGTTCCTTGATGGGTGTTTCCTATTGAGTTTTATCCATAACAATATATGGGTTGTGTTGGCTAACACCCTGGGCTCAGGAGGAATGTTTATGTTACTCGGGGACTTGATCTTGTTGGAGAACCAACTTCCATTCCTAGTTATCCAGGCCTTAATGAGCATACGTTGCCCAAAAGAAGATGGAGAAAAGATTATCCACAATTTCCTCCATTCCACTTATGCCTGTCGAACGGCGAATAAGAAACAGGAACGTCAAGATGAGCAGAGGCAACCTCTTCACCTCCTAGAACTTGTGCGAGAAAAATATCTCAGCCACAGCCACCACAAGGCAAATGGTGGAAGAAACAAGGGTAAAGACTCAAGTAGTACTACTTATAAGTCTTCACATCACTCATTTGGTTCAGCAATCGAACTAAAAGCAAAAGGAATACATTTCAAGTCTAGCTGTAAAACAAGTTTATGTTTAACAGACATCAGCTTCAATTCTTCCTATGGTTATGGACAGCTGACGCTTCCTTCTTTTATATCTAGCGATCAAAACAAGGTGCTCTTCTTGAACATGATGGCCTATGAATTGGCTCCTAACACATCAACTTGCTGGGAGGTTTGCAGTTATATTTATTTCATGAATTCACTGATCAGTGGAGCCGACGACGTAATTGAGCTGCGATCACATAACATAATTTATAACTTCCTAGATTCTAATGAGGGAGTTGCAAAATTCTTCAACTCCATGGCTTCTGCTGCCTTGTGTACGGACGCAGGTATCCTTGAAGATGTTTGTGGTCAAATTGAAGAGCACTGCACTAGCAAGACGAAAACATGGGTGGCTCAATTCTTGCATGACCATTTTAGCACTCCCTGGGCTACTTTGGCATTTTTGGCCGCAATTCTTGTTATTTCTCTAACTTTCACCCAAACATACTTTCAAGTTTTTCCACGTCCTACGAATCAAAAGTAACCAAGGTTTCAGGTCAGTGTCATTGTCTTCCTCGTCACCTACATTATAAAGTCACAAAAGTAAATTATATGGCTTGTCTGCAGGTGCCACCGCCAGGGATCAATTCTATACACCCAACATGCCATGCTTCATAGTCATCTACGTTATGAGCCGAGGAACACACAAACGGATCACAATGCATCTCCTTAAATAACGTGTATGCATGTAATAAAAGGATTTTGAGTGCAGTTTTCTTTGATTTTAAGGACATCCCAGTGAATCGTGTGTATTTTTTACAAGCAATTATGCTATTGTATGGTGTTGTCTTTGGTTTCTAGATTCCGGTTTGTATGCTTTTTTTACAACGCAAAAGCATCTTGTAATAAAGAATTAATTGACAAACCAGTCTTTGAATTGGGCAATTGTGACCGGTTAGATTTAAAATTAGGGTTTGTTCGACCTTAAAATTGAATTAACCTATTCACCCCCCCTCTAGGTTAGATCTAGTGATCCCACGTTAATAACCGTGAGAAAAGATCCACAGTATATCTCTCCCAGTTCTCTAATTTTAACCTGTGGTTCTAGTACCGTGCACTATGCCTCTTTTGGCTCTAGAATCACTTATGCTAAACCATCCAAGCAATCAAGTAGACAATAATGTTGGTGGACATTGCCAAAGGGTTGAGCTCAGATGAGAATATTTTAGGGTTATGATCTTCATGTCCTAAGATAACTTTCACAAGAGAGTACCCCACCCAAACAAGACTAACAGAACTGTTCCCTCATGTAGACATACAATGTACACAAAGGATGAACAAATTTATCTTTCCTGTGATACTAATCGCATAAGAACAACAATCTTTGGAAGCAGCACATTCCTGAAAGAAAGTATCACATTTCCAGCACATTGCCAAGGTTGCAATTGAAGATTCTCCGTTACCATTTTTCAGCTAATTTTTTCTTTCTTGCCTCCCACATTCACAACAACCCTTCAGATATGTGATTTGCCTTGTAACATACCATAACTTCAACTCTCACTCTTGTCAGCTCCGACCAGACCATGAAAAGAGATCCAAACATCCCACCTTATGCTCTTTAACCTAGCAAGGTTACTATACTATACTATACATAATGGTGCACAGTCCACAAGAGTAATGTAAAACAGATTCAACACTTAAAACTATACACCAAGAAGCCAAATACAACTAAAAATCAAGTTGCAATTTATCAAAAGTGAATAGTAAGAAAATGAAGCCAGAGAATGCTTGTTCAGATCTAAGAGCAACCATATGATGTGGATAAAATCCGAGGGTAATTTCTATACACAAGCCACCCTACCTGGTTCTTACCACTACTTGTTGATTGGACCATTGGTAGAAACCTATTTCTTCTTTTCCAATAGATAGAACAATAGTGAAAGATAAGATATAGATCTCACAACAAAAACCTCCTCCACATAACATGACAAATATAGGGATCATACAGGAGAGACTAATTTATTCAATTGGAGGTATTCAAACAACAAGTACCATAGCAATCAAATTGGCCTCTTGGTTGGCAGCATCTTAAGAAAATCAAGAATGACCAAATCGGCTTGACCAAGTTGGTCATGACAGTACACTTCTTGCAGTACTAGAAACTAGAATGTACAACAACAAACAAATCTATAGTGAAAGACTCACAGTCTTTAAGACAAAAATCAGAATTTATTAAAAACCTTGATGCAAATAAATTGATTGGCACTTAGTTGGCGTAATGATGGAATATTCAAAGGAGGTCCAAGAATTTACTTATATCAAGAATTTGAAATGGTTTTGAGATCTTAGATGGGACGAATCCAAGTTATATCCAACCATTTGAAAGCAATACATATATGTATTTTTACATACATTTGCCTAAACATTTTATAGCCTCAAATTAGCATACTGGCACATTCCTCATTGCATCAAGAACCCGACGGTAACTACCCTTGGACGCGCAACTTTGTAGTTGAAGCACATGCCCAAATTTCTCATCGCCGACAATACTTATTCACTTTTTCTCAACAACCAACTTGTATACTACCATATTACATTTTCAAATTACACCAAAATCACAGAATCAAATAAAATGTATTCTAATATATGTGGGTGTAGGGAGTGTGCCCATGTCTGTTTATGACTGTATCCATGTATGAGTGCACAAAAAATGTTCCAACTGATCATGTTTCAAGATAGGAAGAAGCAAGAGACCAAGATGTCGCCATGTCATCGGATTAGAGTTTGATCAAATATGAGCACAAAGTTTAAGGAAGCTTAATATTATCACCAATGTACTCAGAGACATTGACTTATTTTCTTCCTCCCTGCTAGTGTTGATTTAAAACAATGTCAACAGGTAACGGGAACTATATCTCCAGCAATATTATTTACTTGTAAAGGAAATGGATAAGATCATGCAAGACACTTGGAAACTACAGCTATAAGAAGCAAAATAGATCCTAACATTTAAACTGTCCACCACACAAGCAACCTCTAATTTTGGTTGTATTATGAAAAGAAATTAAAATTTAAGAACCAGCCTAGCAAATAAGTTCGACAAAAAGATTGTTGAAGGTCTTCAAGCAGAGACTTTTTGACCAAATTACCATCTTTTTTACTTCTATTCTATTTGTGCAGTACTTTCTTACTTAGTTCCCAATTTCAGTTATTTAGAGTGAGCTGAACGATTACCATCAAAAAAACAAACATATACGCCAAACAAAGACCACATACCACCATAATCTATTAAAGTAACAGAAAGTCAACATCCTATGTTTAATTCCCATCTATGTTATAAGCCTGTGAGCACACATCAAGATCGCATGGCATCTCCTCCAACAAAATGTGTGTATAAAAGGTTTTCAGCTGGGATTTTCTTAGATTTTAGGGACATCCCAATGAATCATGTGTGTTTTACGAGCAATCTTGCTATTGTATAGCATTCTTCTTTTTCCTTTCCTATATTTCAGCTTGTGGTTTTTACAATGTAGAATATGTGATGAAGATTGAACAAATATTGTGATGCAACTGCCTCAACTTCATGAGTGCACCCGATGCTGTTGGGGTGATCTGGATATGGTACGAAGACTTTGGGTCTCCATGGTGAGAATAGGATTTGGATCCTCTCAAATTTTAGCCCATGCTTCTAGTACCATGTGCCCTATGCCTCTTTTTGCCTGAGAATCATATATTTTTACATAATATCCTTGTACGCAATCGTGTTGGTTGACATTATCCAGAGTTAAACTCGGGTCAAAAGATTTTAGGATTATGACCTTCATGTCCAAGGATAAATTTCACAAGAGAGTACTTCATCAAAACAAGGTTAAATGCAGAACTCTTCAAAGTTGTTTATCCAATGGCCCAGGAACTCAATTCATGCCTTACCACTCAGAATAGCAGATTTTACCAAATCAAGAAGCAAAAATTAAACTTGTTTATCATGCAAATAGGTGAAGACCAAACCGAAGTGCTTCCTCTGGTAGAGCTACAATTTAATGAAAGGATTAACTAATTTATCTTTCCTGTGATCCTATCACATAACAACAACAATTTTGTGGAAGCAGCAAATTCCTGAAAGAATGGATTACCTTTCTGGAATATTTCCAAGTCTGCATTTGAAGAGTCTCTTTTAGCTAATGGGAGGTGCTCATCCGGCTTTAAGCTAATCTTTCTTTTTTACCTTCCAGCCACGTCACCACAGTCAATCAGACCATGAAAAGAGTATCCTAACCTACCCTCTTATGTTCCTTAACCTAACGAGGTCATTATACATAATGGTGCTCAGTCCACAGGAGTAGTGTAATAAGACAAATGAAACACTTGAACTTTAAAGACACCAGGAAGCCAAGAAAAACTAAGACAATGAAGCCAGAGATGCATGTTCATGTTCAGGTCTTCTTCAACATTCAACGAAAATTAGGGCTATAAAATTTGGACGTCTAGAATTGAACAATAGTATTATTGAATGTGGAATCATGGATATGTATGATGAATTCATATTGAGATGTTTGATATTTTATTTATTTATTTATGATTTGTGATGTAAATAGTTGGAATTGTGGAAAGGTAAAAGAGAATGTAATTATCAAGATAAATTTGTTGACAGATTGAAGTGAAATTTTCGGTACTGTTCCAATAATGACTAGATAATTAATCTCTTGTGATTTGCGAATGTATATAACTCCTAATTTAACGGAAAATAGTAGTATCATACTATATGGTCGTATAGTGAAATTAATACGCAGGCATAATAGGGATAGAACATTCATAGTGTCCCCTAATTTGTTTGTGTCCTATTTTTTTTCCTGAAAATATTGCATTGCAGTCGTGTTATATCTGTGTCCTATATCTGTATTCGTGCCTCTTAGATAGTGTGATACAATTAAGTACTATTAACAGAAATCCCAGAAATCTGAGCCAATTTTGATCATTTATACCAGCATATAATTCGAAAGAATCAATCATCAAATGCTATGCAGAAACGGTTAGTGTTGAATTAAATGAACATCAAACAGGGTATGGGAATTGAAGTGGCTTGCCAAAAATTCACTAGCCTACCTTTAGTAAGATTCTGTACTAGTAAAGGAAATGGATATGATCACACAAAACATCTAAGAACTATAACTACAAGAAGATAAATAGTTCCTAACCATTAATTGACCTCCTTACAAGCAATCTCCTACTGTAGCAAATATGAAAAGAAATTAAAACCTAAGAACCAACCCAACCATTAGAAAAAAAGTGTCGAAGGACCTTCAAATAAAGCCATTAGCCACAGAATTCAGACTCAGCTAAGCAATAACCATCATAAACACAAACATCAATATCAAGTATTTTGGACAAAATGAAATTCCATTTAAGTAATAGAAACTCAAATCACAAAGCGTTATTCACCATACACAGAACACTATATATACGAAAGCTATTGGATTGAATTCGATTAAAAGAAATGATCAACCACTGACCAACAAGTTGACAAGAACAAACCAGGGCATGGTCTTGATTAAATCTACAATCCTCTTGAATCAGCCAACATGGAAAGCACCAATATCCCCGGTTCGCAGAGAGCTAGCAATCTCATCAGCAACAGTCAAACAAGATACGACCCAACCACTCAGAGCCTCCCACACCATCTTTACCAGCCAAAGTGTCGTACTCCATGGCACTGCCATCGCCCACCTCAGACTGAATAAGGACAATTGAAACCCAATAACCCTGCTCTGATTTAAGGAAAAACATATTCAGGATCAATGATTCGACTTTTTTCCTCAGAA